AGACCACATTGTGTTTATCTCTGTGTCTATTGGGTCAGGAGCCTGAAAGACCTCCTCTCTTTCAGACTTGCTGCAGATAATCACAGGATACAGCATACAGTTGCACTCGTGTCTGCAATTTGTGTGTAGTAGCGTCATAAGGAAAGTAAACACAGGTGGTCTGGAAGAACCTTCCTCCTGCGCTGTGTCTTACTCGGGGCCACATGGCAGCACGTACTCCTTCCAAAGATGCGGGAACACAGAGTTCTTAGGGCCGGCCGCTCACATGCCCTCTGGTGAGATGCCAGATGCCAGAGCTCCAGCAGGAAAGCGGGGGCCCCACTGCACCACATGCTTTCCACGGTGTAATCCCCACGCTCCCTAGTCGCTGGAAATCGGAGTTCCCGGACGCCAGGCCTGGTGCGCCTTGCCAGCTGGCTTCTCTAAAGACGGCAGCTCCGGCCTGCTTTGTCAAGCTCTTTCTGCCCAGTCACCACTGGACTGGGTCCAGGCCCAGTGCGGCAGGCCTGCTCCGCCCTGCCCTTTCCTTTGCCATGTTTGTGCCTCTGCCGTGGCAGCTCAGGGAAATGCATTGATCGGGCACCTGCCCCACCCCAGCGTCCCCACCCTCTCGCGCCATCCCATGTACAGAAGACTGCCTCACTCGTCCCAGCCCGAGGACAGGATGGGCCTTGCAGCCAACCCCTGGGGAAAGAAGGGGCAGCGGCAGGACTGGCAGGAGGGCCGGGACCACTCCGGGATTAGGAAGGCCTGTGGTGGTGGTTGTGAGCTGTGCCCTCAAGCCCAGCCTTTTTACCCACCCCCCACCCCACACACCCCACCTCCTGCCACGTACATACACCCCAGTTGCTGGATGGGACCCAGCCTGGGAAAGGCCAGGGCAAGGCGGCTTGGGCAGCTAAGGCCGACCCTCCTGGGGCTGCAGCTGGAAGCTGTCTGCCAGCAGCTGTGACAGTGGTCTCACCACCCAGCCCGGCACCCTCCTGGGTCCGGCCTTCTACCACCACTGTGGCTTCTGGATGGAATCATACAGGGAGGACAGGAAAGAAGAAAGCCACCCATATTTTAAAGCTCTGCTATAAATCTCATGTTCATATGTTTAAATGGGATTTTCCTCGTTATGAAAAGTTTCACTAAATCATTTGCTTCTACTGAGTCACCCCGAACGAGGAAGGAAAAGGGCCATCCACTTCCCACTTCCCACAGAATGTGGTCCCCTTGCTCCGCAGGGCCCCTGATGTGTCACAGTCACACATGCTTTGTAATTCGAAGATTTGGAGAGCAGACACGTTGTCTTTGCGTTTCCTCCCACAGTTTGACATCTAACCTGACTTTCACGACCCTCCTGCTTTTGTAATGTCTTGTTATTTTTTAAGGGACTTTAAGAATCTTAATGTTGGGCTCTTTTAAAACAGCGCCTTAAAACCGTAAAATGTACAGTGGATGAAACTGCAAGAAAAAACGGGCGCAGGCAGTATTTTAATTCTGCATTTTCCACCACATGAGGGATAGGCGGGTTCCTGGAGCTGCACTGATTTTGCTGTGAAATGCACCAGAAGACGCAAAACCCTTTCTCCCCAGAAGTACACCCTAGAGGTCCTCCTCTGGGACGTGGCGAGAGGAGAGTTTTTGCATAGGGTCCATAGAGGTTCTAGGAAAATCAACAGTTGTGCAAGGATAGAGGACTTAAAGCATGATCTTATCTACAAAGCATTGCTTTTTAGTTCTAACTACACAGAAAGACAAGCTGAGCACGTGTGAGAGACAAAGGAAAGGGAGGGCAGAGGTTCGGGATGTGAGTGAGCTTTGAGTAAATATAAAGTACTCTTTTCAAGTTAAAGTTTAGTTATTTTGGGTCTTCAAAAATGATTTATTAGGTAAAACATATTTTTCCAGTCTCTGCAGAGACATTTTTTTTTAAAAAAGGTTACAATACACTCAGTAATAGTTTTTCTTTTTTTTTTTTTTTGTTTTTTGTTTTTCTCCGGTACCGGGAACCGAACTCACGACCTTGCGCTTGCCAGGCAGGCGCTTTTGCCGCTGAGCTAAATCCCCAGCTCTGTTTTTCTTATTTATTTCTATCAGTACCCTATTGTTTGTGAACCAGGATGCTTTACCTACGAATTACAAAAGTAGAGTCTCTCTGTTTATACTGATACTGGCACGAATTTAACTGCCTGACATTCCTGTTACATACTGTTGTGAACTGAAGGGATTATTGTGAGAAACGGCAGGTTAGAGGAAGATATGGGGTCTTGCCTCACCAGTTGGCATGTCAGCTTACCTGGGAAGTTCATTCTTCTTGATTGTAGTTGGTTTTCCAAAAATTTACGTAGGTGTGTCTTCCGGAGTTGCCGGTACCTGCTGTTTTTCTGTGAAATGAAGCATTCAGGATTTCAACTTAAAAATAAGGACACACACATTGAAGGCAGAGTTTCATAGGCAGCTATTTTAATGCACCCACCTGGCATTGGCTTCTACATTTAGTGATCATGAACTAAACAAAAACCTGTGATCTAGTTCCAACTGGAAAGTTTGTCATTATTTTGCACCCACCCGTGATAGATTTAAAACGGTATTGAAATTTATTTCCAAATGTTCATTGTTTTCACCAGTTTTCTTTGTTTATATCGTATTACCATAAATACTTGGATAAAAGCTTCACAGCCTCTTTAAAACAAGAACCATCCATTCTGCTTTCTGTAAATCTAGTTGTTAGTTCTATGGTGATGACTTCATTCCATGTTTTTTCTTAGAAGCATCCTCCCTCTAAATTCTCTGTCATCCTGGGGAGTGCAGTTAATTTTTATTTTCTCTAAATAGTTACACTTCCTTTTGGCAGTACTGAGAGTTGAACCCAGGGCCTTCATCTTTATTTTTTATTTTGAGATGGGATATCACTAAGTTGCTAACTTGTCCAGGCTGGGTTTAGATTTACTATCCGCCTGCCTCAGCCTCCCAGAGTGCTGGGATTTCAAATGTGTGCCCCAACACTGGGCCTTAGTAGTTACACTTCAGCAGTTGGATAGCACATTCCTCTGTTGAAACCAGGTCACAGGGAAAACTGCAAGAGATTGGTGTTTAAATATCGCGGCAGTAAAGCAGCCATGGCTGGCAGCAGTGTTAGCTGTAATTTAAGATTTCTGTGCCATCAAATCCGTTCACTGTGGGTAAGTGTAGGAAGTTTGGATTGTCAGGTCTCCTGTTGTTGGTACCTCAAAAAGTTTTGCGGATAACTTGGTACCCTTAGTCTAAATTGTTCTTCTGAGGAGAAGAGAAAGACACTGACGGATGACCACAGAGGATCGTTACAGAATGTGAACAGAAAAGGGAAGTGCGCAGTGCGCAGCACCTTGATGAAGAAGAAAGCTTTGCTGGTGAAGAGCTGTCTAAGATCCTGTTCTTGTCCGTCCCTTGCCCTCTTGAGATGAGAGTCATGTTTGTCAGCCCAGGCTTCCGTAAGAGAATATGGCAGACTGAGCAGCTTCACCAGCAGCCATTCGTTTTCTTGCAAGTCTGGAGGGTGCAAGTGCAAGCTCACGGCTACGAGGGCTGTGTCTCCTGAGGCCTCCCTCCGTACCGTGTGGGTGACTGTCACCTCAGTGTCCTCCCATGGGCACTGTCTGCGCTCACAGTTCTCATACCTCTGCTTCCTCTTGTCAGGACATCAGTCCTGCTGTACCAGGGCCTGCTCTGTGGACAGTGTTTAATCTTCATTTCCTTACAGACCCCCTTTCCAAATACGGTTGTGTAGGGATTGGGGCTTGAACCTATGAGTTGGGGGAACACAGCTCATTCCATAACAAAAATGAAGGCCTCTTAGGTGCAGTCCCTTGGTTAAAATAACTACCTTGTTTTTTTGTTTGCTGTTTTGTTTTAAACTGGAGAGATGCATTTCATTATCCCTCATTTATAAATAAAGACCGTCACTTTCTGAAGACCTCAATGGAATAAGAAATAAAGATCCATACAAAGGACTGTTGATTCCCGTGCCTGTTCTCTGAACTGCCCTGTGACCTTGTCCACTGACTGGCACTCTGTCGAGACCTGAGTCCCTGAGGAGCTGCTGAAGGTGTGCACGTTCAGAGTCATATGCGCAGCTTTGGAAGGAGGAAACCAGAAGCGAGGCAGGAGGGTTGGGAGAGCACGTGCCTTCCGCAGGAGCAGCTTCCGTTCACAGAGCACCTGGCACTGTCCCATCCTGGAGAGGACGGGCTGTGCCACTTCACATGGCTCCCTGATACTCCTGGCTCACAGAAGCTTTTTCTGTAACTCTTGCTAGTTCTTTGGAGGCCCATTATGGTTCCGTGGGCACCGGAGCCTCTGGCTGCCTGCTGCTATCTATGCTGCCCGGAGCCCTTATGTGGACTGCTTGTCTTGTGTGGCTGTGCTACAGTTTCTGATTTTTATTTTTCTCCTGGAAAATCCATTGCGTTTTTTTCTCCTTTTCAATGTGATCTTGCTTACCTATCACCGTTCTGCACTGATGACATTTATGAATAATGGAAACTGTGCCCATTTCAGCAATAGCATATGTAGTCTTGACAGAGATGTCATTTCAGTGTTCTGAATCTGCATGATTTGTCAAAGTAGAATCATGATCCCACATGCACCTCTGTTTTTCAGAAGTGAAATACAGAGGCCAGAAAATACCCAGTAGATTTCATTAGCCTCATTTTGAGAACCATGCCTACTGGGTATGTACCACGTACTACTCATACCTGGCATGGGATGACAGACCGCACAGAGAGAACATGCTAAAGGAGAGTCTGTACTGCAGTGGATCACCACTGTTAATCATGTATTCTCTGCATGCGAGTTTGCATTTCTTAAAAATATTTTTGCGAGATTATAAAGAACACTGTAACAGGTAAGTGAAAAGCACACACGGTATGCTTTGTTGTTGGCAATGGAACGGCTCCTTTTGGAATATTCTGTACGGAATAAGTCTAAGCAATAATTTGATCTCGCCGTGGCTTTTTCCCTTTCTTACTTTGTAGGTACAGAGGCAAAACGTACAGAGCTGTGGTCAAGATCGTGCGAACCTCGGACCAGGTAGCAAACTTCTGCCGACGTGTGTGTGCCAAGCTGGAGTGCTGTCCAAATTTGTTCAGTCCTGTGCTGGTTTCTGAAAACTGCCCAGAGAACTGCTCCATCCACACCAAAACCAAATACAGTAAGTACGAGCGATGGGAAAACACAGCCACAGCAGGCCCGGCTGGCCGTGGGGTGCCATTTGGCTTCTGTTTTGTTTTTAACCTTTGGAGTAGTTTTTCATATGAATTGCACTGTAAAGAGCTTTTCCATTCCTTAAGATTCCTGTGTATTTGTAGGGCGTAAGGAAAGGAGAGGATGACTCCAGATAGAGGGTTATCCATGGCAGGCTCTGGAAAGGGAGAGATGAGGGTGTCACGGTGATGTAGTCGCTGAGAACTTGAACTGTCTTTTCCCTGAGGAGTCATAATGGTTCTTTAGCTGCTTTTCCCATCCAGGTACTAACCAGGCCCGACCCTGCTTAGCTTCCGAGATCAGACGAGATCGGGAGCGTTCAGGGTGGTGTGGCCATAGACTTCAGCTGCTTATCTTGCCACATGCCTTTCCTCTGCGTAGATGCAGCCCTCAGAACTCGCTCAGAACATGGGAGGATTCATTCAGAGGCACCCGTCCCCCCACTCTTTGTCACCAGATGCCTTGGTTTGTCCGCTGCGAGGCATGACCCCGCCTGACCCCATTCTGTCAACTATGAGGATATGCCGCTTCTGCCCCATCACACGTAAACACCTCTGTTCTCTGTACTTCTCTGTCCTCCGCACTTCTCCTTCTGGGTAGCCACCCCACATGCTCTACCTCCCCTATCCCAAGCTCTGAAAACTCTCTGAGTCACAGCTTCTGATCTTCCTGCATCTTCCTCAGCTGTTGTACCCCGGGGCAATGACCTGGAAGTTGGTCCTTCCACCCCACATTCCAGCCACATGGTCAGTGCTCTGTGAGCCTCCTGGCGTTTGTCAGCTTGAGTGTTGGAAAGGAATGCAGGTGTGCTTAGGCCAGTGTTCAGAATGTGACTTTCCTTCTCTTTGTCTGTTTTTCTCTGTACAGACACACACACACCCAAGCCCACCTTCTGCTTCCATTCTCGCTAAAGGTCAGCTGCCCTCTCTGCTAGTTGGTTCCCATTTCAGCTGGCACACGTGGCATGGTCTCAGGTGAGAACCATGGGTATGTTTATGTCGCCTGCTCCCCGGAGAACTCCTTTCCACATCACCTTCGGCCAGGGCAGGAATTCTGTGGGCACCAGCTGCTCCTGCACAGAAAACAACTGGCCTGACGGCTAAACTTCATCTTAGAAATTGGCTTCCTTGTACGTCTGGGACAAAGGCAATGAGAGAGAAGGAGCAGGCCATTGTTATTTTACAGGCGAGCGAAATGAGCTTAGAGATCATTCTGGGTCTGGGTTTATGAAACTTAAAAATCTCAAGTTCCTATCAGTTACCTTAGAGCAGATGTTGCTACAGATTGCACCTGAGCGCCAGTGCGAGGATGACAGAACCCTGTTTGGGTGGATTCTGGAAAAGTCACGGCAGGGGCCACCCATCTCATGTAAGGCTTGAACTTAAGCCTTGTTGGTGCCAAGCTTTGTTTGCATTCAGTGAGCCCATTTCTGATCTGGCCGCCGGTTTCTGAAACCCAGACCGGGTCACCTTTGCCGTGCCTGCGGGGGCCTTTGAGCATGAGCCAAAGCTTAGTAACTTGTACTATAGCGGAAGCAATAGTGAAGCAGCGTTCTTCCCGCAGCAATGTGCTCTGTTTATCCAAGAGCGCTGTCCTGGTACAGCTGGATCTGGGAAGCTGTTCCAGGCTCTCCCACCGCCCTGAGTCCTGGTGAGAGAGAGCAAGGGTGCTTTCTGTGAGCCCCGGGACTGCTTCTGGGCCCTTTCCGGACAGCCTTGGTGAACATGCTCCTTGTGGACCCAGTGCCAGTGAGAGGAGTAGGGAATAGAGAAGTCTAGGCTGAAGGAAGTCTGTGTCAGGCACTTCTGGCGGTCCCACCTTGCCAATGAGGAAATCGAGGTCCGGGAATGGCAGGAGCCTTATCTGTGAGACGAAGCCAGTGGTTTGGCTGGGGTGGGATGTGTGAGGTGGCCTTTCCCTGCACCGTAACCAAGGAGCTGCACATTTTGATAGGTCGTTGTTTTATCTCGGTTTTGGCTTTTGGTTTTGCTTTGGCTCACTTCATCCATGGGTAAGGATTCCTCAGCTGCATTTGCTTCCTTTATGGGCTGGTGGCATCCCAGTGGGACAGTTGAGATTTCAGGTAGTAAATGAACCTTCATGATTGTGGTCATAATTAAAACCTGGGGCCCTGTTAGTGTCAAATGAGTTGATTGTACATTTAACTTAATCATCCTTAAAAATTGGTAATAATTTTCCAACTAGTGCTTTAAATGTTGGTAAATACGTAGATCCCTGCTGTGGCATTCAGAAGTAGTAAGTTTCCCCTGAGTAAGAAGACAGTAGTGTTCACCGGGGCTATTACAGGAAGAAGGCTGTTTGAATGTGAATTTGGCTGTTCTACTTAGGATATTAGTTTGTGTTAGTCAGATCAAGAGGTGGGAGAATCGACTCTGACCCAGTGGATGTATCCAAAGTGCTCGTTGACTGACAGTGCAAGTTCACATTGGGGAGCAGTGTTAGCACGCTCCCCAATTTGGGGTCAGGAAATGGAGAAAATGAACTTCCAGAAGGACTATAGGCACCTTGGACACCCTTCACCTGTCTGTCTGGTTGGGCTGCCACAACAGAATGCCCTAGGAGCCAGGTGACTTAAGCGACAGATATTTGTGGCCCATAGCTCTGTGGGCTGCAGGCTAAGGTGTCAGCAGATCTGGTTTCTGGGATGTTCCCTGCTCACAGACTCCTGCCTCCTGCTGTGTCTTCGCGTGGGAGATTCACTGCGTGTGCACATCCTGGAGTCTCTTCCCATAGGGACAGAGTCCTGTTGGGTTAGGGTTCCACCCTCACAATCTCACTGAACATTAATTACCCCCTCCAAGGCCTTTCTCCTGATACACTAATAGTAGGGTTAGGTCTTCAGCATGTGGGTACTGGAGGGACCCGAGGTCCCTAACACCTTCTAACCTTGAAGCATGGGAGAAATGTTTACTCTGTGAAGCTGTTTTCTCAGACCAAGTTCCCGAGGTACAGGCAAGATGTCAAAGGTACACTGTCCAAAACGAAACAACCACTCTCTCCTCCCTTTTATCCCTCCTCTGTCCTCCCCTCCTGTCCTCTGTCTTTGTCCACATATATGTGTGTATCGCCTAAACATTTTTAAATCATCTTCCTCCCGATAGCTTATTATTATGGAAAGAGAAAGAAGATCATTAAGCCCCCAATCGGGGAAAGCAACGTTGAAAGCGGCCATCCTAAACCATCCAGAAGGAGGAAACGACGGAAATCCATCTTTGTGCAGAAGAAGCGGAGGTCTTCCGCCGTGGACTTCGCAGCGGGCTCTGGGGAGGTAGGGTCTGCTCCGCAGCAGTTTCCAGCATTTGGTTTTGACTTCAGCCCTTGCAGCCAGGAGGCTGCGGCACTGGTGAAGTCTGCTTGCAGAATGGTTCGAAATATGACCTAAGAAGCCCTTTTCTCCTAAGGGGATCACGCGATCAGCTGCTTTGACTCAGGAAGGGTGGCGTTAGGACTGTGGTGGGGACCCTCAGCCGAGGTCAGAGGGTGTCTGGGACAAGCCTGGGTGGGAACGGAGCTGGGATCAGAGCCCACTGTGTGGCTGGGGGTGCAGGCCAGGCCGCTTGTTGCGTCACAGGTGTCCTTTTCCATCCAAGTCTCTCTTCCTCCCAGGAAAGTGAGGAGGAGGATGCAGATGCCCTGGATGACGACACTGCTAGTGAGGAGACGGGCTCCGAGCTCCGAGATGACCAGATAGATGCCTCCTCGGCAGAGGTGCCCTCGGCGCGGCCCCGGAGGGCCGTTACCCTGCGGAGTGGCTCGGAGCCCCCCCGCCGGCCGCCCGTGGAAAGGGCACGAAGGGGCCGTCCGGTGCCTGCCGCTCCCTCTGCCGAGGAGGGGGACAAGGGCCCACCTGCCAAGCCGGAGGGCTCAGAGGTGAGCTTCAGGTGGGGCGTGTGCCAGTCTTCTTTATGAAAATCGTGAAGCCAGGTGTGGTGGGGCACACTAGGAATCCCCACACTCTGGGAGGTTGAGGCAGGAAGATCACAAGTTCAAGCCCAGCCTAGACAACTAAGTGATTGAGTAAGACCTTGTTATTAAAAAAAAAGAAAAGTCTGAGGACGTAGCTTGATGCAAAGTCTCTGAGGCAGTCCCCAGCGCCACAGGAGAAAAACCAAGGAGAAGAACAATAGTTTGGGGCACAATTTTGGGGAAACCTCTTGAAAGTATCTGCGAGGGTAGCAGCTGCTCCAGCAAATCCTAAGTGTGAGACGAATGGCCCTGACCTCACCTCTTGGTGACAGTGTCTTTACGGGGTGGCTTGATCGCACCAAGCCTCCCTGCACGCCAGGCTTCCAGAATGTCGTCTCCAGTCTCCAATTTCTGCCCTTGCATTTTGCCCTCTCTGTGTCCTTGTGGGGCATCTCTGTGATGTCCTCAAATAGCAAATCACTGTGCCACGCGTCTGCTAAACCCGCAGGTGGCAGATAATCCCCTGAAAAGGTGACCGGCACCATCGTCACAAAACCCAGACACCGATCCAGTTGGAGTCCCTCAGTAGGCCCAGACTTTTCCGAACTAGGAATTCAAGATCGGCCATGGCTGAGCCCTGTGTTCACCGCTAAGGCGCATGCATCACTGTGGCTTGGGAGAAGACTTACTGAGACAGTTGCTGCAAGACATCCCAGAGACTGAGTTACTGGGATTTGTTCGGGCGAGGGAGGTGGTGGCTCTGGTCTAACACGGTGACTGGGGCCTGGAGGGCATAGGAAAGGACCCAGTGACCACACAGGGTGCAGTGACTGTCCCCTGCTCACCGTCCCCTGCAGGACACGAAACAGGAGGACGAGGAGAGGCTCGTCCTGGAGAGCAACCCATTGGAGTGGACAGTCACCGACGTGGTGCGGTTCATTAAGTTGACAGACTGCGCCCCCTTGGCCAAGATCTTCCAGGAGCAGGTACAAGCCTTACGGTGTGGTGTGGTGCCCGGTTTGTGTTAGGAGGCTCCAGATTTTATAGGAACCCCCTGCCTTTTCTTAGCTTCTGCATCACTGCCCGGTGGAAGTTAAAATCCCCCTGCAGGTGACACCTGCGTGAGCCTCCTGGGTACGGCTGAGCAGGTGTGGGAGACCTAATGGGGTCTCCGCAGGACCCCATTAGAACTTTGTTCCCATTTCCCACCGGCCTCACTGATGTCATGGCGGTGACGTTCCTCTCATAGTACCCCGAGCACTGCCCGGCAAGGGGTGGGCCTCCAGGCTGCGCACTCAGTCTGCACTGACCCACAGTGGGGGGCTCACTCTTTACTGTCAGGCAGGGAAAACAAAGTGCAAGCTCTAGCAGGACTTAGTGGTATAAACCTGTAATGTCGGTGCTTTGAGAGGCTGGGGCAAAGGATCACATGTTCTAGCCCAGCATGGGCAACTTAGAGATTTGCCAAGACCCCATCTCAAAAATGCAGAATAAAGCAGGGCCAGGGATGTAGTCCCGTGTGAAGGCCCTGGGCTCAATACCCACTGGACGAAAAAAGAAAGAGAAGAAGATAGGCAAGAAAGAGGATCTCAGGGCTCTGCTTGGCCTTCTCAGATGCTGCCTTGTTGAGGGACTCAGGTGCCTAGTTGCGGCCTGGCCGAGCTGCTTGCTAGGTCTTGTATTTGGCACACACAGGGCTGGACTGGGTTTTCCCATGGTGTTCATCTGTCAGTAGAGCTGCTGGTGTCTGCAGGCTTTTCGTGTTGCTAAGCTGCCCCTTTGCTAGGCTATGAAATGCAGGCTCGAGCGGGCCCTCCTGTCTGTGCCTTTGGAAAACCGGGTCACCAGGTTCTGCTCTAAGCCTTGATTATGTGGTTCACACAACCACCACAAAAACAAACAGATCGCTCTGCGCCATGTCATTCACTCAGCTCCCATGGCCCCAGCTGGCCTGCCCTTTTTGCTCCACCTTTCAGAGTCCTCCGTTTGGTTTATAGATAATGTCAAGTGGTTTTAGTTACGCTTGGCAGCTGAAGTAGGAGAAAACGTGTCGGCTACACCTGAATTGAGTGGCTACTCTCTGTTCGCTGTGTTCATTTAATGCTGATTAAATTATTGTTTTCTTACTGTCTTCTTTCATCATGAGATAGTGAAAACCTGTGGTCTTGTGACAAGTATAAAAATAATTGATGTACCTTATACCTAAGGAAGTTTATAACCCAGCAGGGAAAGTACCTATAGTTCGCTAAAGCGTAAGACATGGCATGATGTGCTCTGAGAAGGTTTTCATGTATATTTTCCCATAAATGAATAAGAAAAGAAATTGCCATTCCACATACATACTACCACATACCATTCTCCCCTGGGCTTGTCTGAAAAGTTCAGGTTTAAGCCTGTGTGTGGGTCTTTCTCTACTGTGTGTGCACCATTTGTTGAAATTTCTCACAGTGTCCCACAGTGTAAAAAAACTCTTTTAAGCTCTCATGTTAAAAAATACTGTTTGCCATACAATAAATTAAAGATATGTTTATTAAGTCTGTTTTTAAAGTTAAACCAAAACTATAGAGAGAGAATTTTTCAAGGCTTAAACAATAAGAAAAAAGAAGGTCTCTGGTTTCCCATGCACCCAGGGAAGTTCTCAGCTTCTTTCCCAAGTCGGTGCAGTGCTAAATTGTACAAAGTGAATTAATGCAGTCCCCAAGGAGAGTGCTGTCGTTCCTTCGGAGTTCTCACGTCCTGTCTCTAGGGAAATCCATGAGTGACATGATCATCCGATCCACCCTGAAACCTTCTGTAGACACCCAGTAAGATCATGCCGTAGGAGGGAATGGGGCCAGGCAGGCGGTCTGCTCCCTGCTTCCTGACATTTGCTGCACTTCGTCAGTGGGCAGCACCGAGAGATGAGTGGGGAGAAGCCCTTTTTTGACCTAAAGTCCTGGGCAATGACCTTGTCCCTTCATTGTAACGCACAAACAGGAAAGAGAATTATAAGTCGTGTTAGAGCTGCTGTGATACGGGGCTTGTTGATAAGGCACTTTGCAGGCTTGAAAATAAAAAGAAAGCAATAGGTTGAGATCCCTTGGAAAACATTACCTAACGGCATTTTCCCTGACTGCTATTTATGGATAAGTAGGGCTGCCAGACAAAAATCAGCATTGTATTCCAATACATGACAAGTGATGATTACACAGCTTAAATATGCTAACGTGTATCTGTTCATTCGAATATACAGATGAGCACCTGTTAGATGCCTTACAGTGTCCAAAACGGGGTTATGGAATGTAGTTCTGTATATTACTGCTTTTGTTTTATTTTTTTTTAGGTTCAAAGGCAGTTTTAGGTGAGAAATATTTTTTAGTGGAGCCAGCACAAAGAGCCCAGATTTTCTCACTTCTAGTTTGCAAGTTAGGTTTGGAGCTTGAATCCATTCATATAATGAAAGATTACCACACTACCTTGTACAAATTCCCAGTAAAAGAAAGTGAAACAGAGCTAGTTTGAAGAAACCTGTACAAAGCCTTATTTTATTGTACTCCAAACCCAACTTCTAACAGTGCCTCAGAATATTTCAAAGAAATGGGATGTTACGGCATGTCCCCAGCTGTCAAATGAAGCCATGAGTAGGGACCTCTCTCATCTGTATTATCAGTTAAAAGCTTGGTCCATCATTCAAACTTTTTTCTCTTACGCGAGAAAAAAATAGGCATTAATTGATCAAGGGTCTTAATCCCATCTAATTTTACATTTCACATTAGGCAGTTTCACCTGTTGTACTAAAGAGCTGTTGCCCGCTGGGCTGTCTGCAGCGCGTGAGCGCTCAAGTCCTTTCCTGTTCCATCAGACCTTTAATTACTCATTTTTACTAATTTGTTCTGATATCTTTTAGCCTAAATGCCATGGCTGTGATCTGGCGAGGCCTCCAGTGAGTCACTGCAGGGATTGTCTGTGCTTTTAGGTGAACTAGCAGGAGCCTGCAGGCATCATCCACCTGCCTGTACGCAAGATCACAGAGCACACAGGATAATAGCTGTGTGTGTTCACGCCTCTGGGTGTTGTACATTCAGAGACTGTTATAATCACCAGGAGCATTTGCAGAAATTACAAGCTTCTCATTACCAACATATATGCCTTTTATTTCTGAAATGTTGTGGCAACCTTTTTAAAGATCTATACTCTATAATTTCATGCTGCAAACATGTACATTATGCAGTAGAAACTACACATCTATCACTAAAAAGCCCCCACAAGACTGTAAATAACATTGGCCAACTCATTCACCTTTTGTGAATCAGTCTGCTTTTGTATTGTAAGCAAATTGTCCAAATTAGTAATTTAATAAAAAAATTCTCAGGCTAGTTTACAGGTTTAGTTTTGATTGAGACTATCACCTCCTCTTCTTCTACAAACTGGAATGCCCCTGCTAAGGGGCTGCCAGATCCTAAATGGAACTCTGTTATCAGAAGAAATGCAATATTGACGTGTAGCGGGTGTAACTTCCATGTTGTATGTTTTGCATTTCATTTCTTTAAAGTTGGTAGTCTGCTTCTGGTGATTCTGCTTCTGGTGAGCTCTGTGGGACCATATCTATAAAAATTAAGTCAGCTGTGAGGACTGGTGTGTTACCCACATAATCCTTGAAGAAAAAAAAGGACCTTTCAAACCACAACAGAGGCTCCTCCCACAGGGCGCTGACATTGCCTGCACACTCTTTGGCCAAGTGTCGTTTCTGTTCGGTCTCCCTCCTACCCTGCTGTGAGTGGAACAAGGGTAGGCGGTGCACAGCGGACAGCACACGGGAGCGTGAGGCAGGGTTAGCGGTCCCTGGAGGTCCCCACAGTCCTTCCAAAGCAGGAAGTGGCTGACAGTGAAGCAGCTAAATCTGGCTGCTCTCAGCAGGCAGCGTGGTGCAGAGGCCTGATTTTATTCCTGGTGGCGTGGTCTTCTCGCGATGGTCATCCCAGGAATTCGCCTTGTATCATTCAGGGAGGCTGGAAGTGAGCAGAGAGCCGAGACTGGCAGGAGCTGGCAGCTTCAGGCCAGGCTACATTTTTACCCACTTCTCCCCTTTAGCTCTCAGGACTAATTTTTTGGCTGATTGTTCCCATATAAGAAGCAAGATGGAGCATCTCTATAATAAGTTAAGCTTCAAGCGCCCCTCCCCTTACAGTCTCCATCTTCCTGCAAATGGGAGTTTCCTTGCAAGCAAAACTCAGCTCTTGTTCTTTCCTCAGGACTTAGTCCCAGGCGTACAAGGGCCAAGGCAGGGGCTGTAGGTGAGCCAGCTCTAACTGAAGTTCAAAGGCGTGGCCTTCGTGCGCTTCTGCCTGTGCTGCCTGTGCTTGGAATTGAGTCTGCAGGGAGTGCGGACCATGCTCCATGCTCCATCTGCGGTGACAAAGCAGCGACGCCCTCTCGTGCCCATCTTCACCCCCGCTGCTGGCTGAGCAGGACGAGGCGGGGCTGAAAGCAGCTTCCCATTTCCTTTCTTCCTGGAGAAGTGAGGGCAGCGCGTGGGGCGGTGCGTGGGGCGGTGCGTGGGGCCCAGGCTGGAGGGGCATCTGAGCTGAGGTCAGAGGATGCCATGTAAGGTCCTGGTAATCACTGTCACATGTCTCCGCCTCTAGCCCACGCAGCTCTACAGCTCCGTCTAGTGCTGCGACCTCAGAGGCTGCCTACTCCTCCGTGAGCACACAGCCTGGCAGGCAGCGGAGTGCCTTCCCCCTTCAGGAAGAGCGCAAGGAACAATAGTCTTTGAGAAGTGATGTTGAAGGCTCCCCAATACCTTTTTTGCAAGCTTATTTTGGAATCAGTTTTTCATTTTTTTTTCCACTCTTCTATCAAAGTTTTCCTTCGAAGCCGTCATAACCAAAAACAGGGATAGGTTTGACTTGCATAATTTAAAAAATGCACACACATGTACCTAGTATTTATCTCGTTATTTTTCAGTGTGTTTGCTAACATGGTTTCACATCACTCAAATTAAATT